GGATGGCTTTGTATGTTATTTTTGTGCGTTGTCAGTTGTATTTTCTGGTTATTTTTCTTCTTCGTATCATTATTGTTATTATCATTAATGTTATTATTATTGTTATTAGTATTATTATCCCCAATATTGATTATTATCCTAATATTATTATCCCTAATTAACATATTGATATTGATGTTATTATAATTTTTATTATTATTATTATTTATGTTATTACTATTATTATAATTATTGTTATTATCATCATTATTATTCTTATTCTAATTCTAATTTTTATTGTTGTTGTTATTGTTATCATTATTATTATTATCATTATTGTTATTATTATAGATATTAACAGTTATTATTATTAGCTTCATTTTCAAAGAAAAATATAAGGATGTAGAATATTGAGAAACACATGAGGAATCCATTCATCTTTAATAAAAATTAATTTCCAAAACTGTTTTTCAATTTTGTTCTGGTTATTCCTCTCTCTCTCCCTCCCTCTCCCTACCCCCCCCCTCTCTCTCTCTCTCTCTCTCTCTCTCTCTCTTCTCTCTCTCTCTCTCTCTCTCTCTCTCTCTCTCTCTCTCTCTCTCTCTCTCTCTTCTCTCTCTCTCTCTCTCTCTCTCTCTCTCTCTCTCTCTCTCTCTCTCTCTCTCTCTCTCTCTCTCTCTCTCTCTTCTCTCTCTCTCTTCTCTTCTCTCTCCCTCTTTCCCTCTCCCTCCTCCTCCCCTCCCCTCTCCCCATCCCTCTCTTTTCTCTCTTTCTATCTTTCTATCCCTAAAAAGAAATAAGATAAGAAAGCCTATTTTTAGACTTCCTGTAAAGCGACCCCTCCCCCCTCCCTCCCCCGTGGAAGCCAGCCGTAGTAAACTCGAGCCTTGCAATTGCCTGGGGCTATTTTCTGCTTCGGGAAAGGAGGGAGGGGGGAGGGGGGTTACATGACCTCCCGTCCTTACTCTGGCCTAATTCCGGATAATCAGCTGACAAATTCCCTTTCATGTTGTGAGATAGGGGATGCCAGGGAAGGTGCATTACGGCGGTAGACTGACAATGCCGTTTTTAGCACGTCGAAGTTATTATTTTTTGAGTTTAGTGTGGAGATTTTTTTATATATGTGTGTGTGTGGATTGTTATGACTGTCTCGTCGAGTTTCTTTTCTTAACTTGACCTACATTCCAGGGTTCTGGTATATATTTTGTGTAGTAGTTATTTTTCTGTTTTTGCACAAACATACACACACGTTCGCGCGCGCGCACACACACACACACACACACACACACACACACACACACACACACACACACACACACACACACACACACACACACACACACTATGTGTGTGTATGTATATATGTATGTATATGTATCTACACATTCATATATACAGATATGTAGATACTATATGTGCATTATTAAATATATTCATACAAAATTCAATAATTTATGTGATCTTTAAAAGGGGGATATAAAATATCTGTCCCCTGAACAAGCCGAACCTCAGCCAAACCCCAAACCCCAACCCAGACCAAACTGCATAGACGTGGAATGTGAAAGACAAGTGGCTGTATGATACCTAAAGTGACCTGCCGAATATATTACTCTGTGCTAATGTCCTTGTTGCCTTCGCCCTTGCAGTGTACAACATGGGGAGCCTCCAGGAGCCCCGGAAGGAAGACGCCGTGGTGGTGGACAAGCCCGGCCCGCACGACAACTACTCCTGCTACCGCCTCCATAACTCCAGCGCCTCCCAGAACGCCGCCCCTTCGACGCCCCCGCTGGCCAGGGACCTCTTCGGCGTCGTGCGGGAAGCTTGTGCTCAACAGAATGTCAAGTGGCCGGTCGAGTGTCAGGTGAGAGCGCGGAGGACGACGTGAGAGGGCTGGGGGAGGGGGGAGGGGGGGTAGGCTAGCGGGCGAGGGGAGGGGGGTGGCGGGGAGGGAGGGAAGGGGGTGTCTGGGGAGCTCGAGGAGTGTGGATTTTCGTGCGTTTTGCTGTTTTTTTTATTTCGTTTGTTTGTTTTTGTTGGTGGTGGTGTTGATGTTTTTGATTGGAGTACAATTATCAGTGTTATTATTATCATTATCATTATTATCATTATCATTATTATTGTTATTGTTATTATTATTGTTGTTGTTATTGTTATTATGATCATTGTTATTATTATCACTGTTATTATTACAATTACGATTATTAATTGTTGTTATTATATTATATTTGTTATTATTATTATGTGTTGTAAAACCACTACTTTTATTATCACTACTTTTATTATTGGTATAGTAGTAGTAACAGCAGTAATACTAATATCAGTAGTTTTCTATTATTATTATCGTTATTATTACTAGCAGTAGTAATTCCATTATTGTAGTTTAGTATGTAGTAGTCTATTTGGTCTTTGAAATAGACATTGCTTATATTTGCGTGCATTTTATCGCGAAACAACGACCCAACTGAATAGTTATCGGTGTTTTTTGTTTCCTGGTTTTTGTATCTCAGATACTTTATCTATTTATACCACTTTTATGACTGGTGAAGCCTTTAAAGATTTTGATAGTGCTGTAAAATGAAAAGAACTGCAATAGATATTTTCTTTTATTGCTGGTGCGCCGCAGATTATTCTTTATGGCTGACGGAGGATAGTTTGTCAATTATACAAGCAGTTTGCCGTTTTTATTGATTCGTGATGTATCTAACATAGGTGTATTTATGTAGTTTTTGTATACGTTTTATGTTGTATTTAGTGTATTTTTATATAGTATGTAGTATGTTTTTACATGTAATGTATATATGAACATATATATATATATATATATATATATATATATATATATATATATATATATATATATATATATATAGATAGATAGATAGATAGATAGATAGATAGATAGATAGATAGATAGATAGATAGATAGATAGATAGATAGATAGATAGATAGATAGATAGATATATATATATTATATATATATATATATTATGTGTGTGTGTGTGTGTGTGTGTGTGTGTGTGTGTGTGCGTGGTGTGTGTGTGTGTGTGTGTGCGTGCGTGCGTGCGTGCGTGTGTGTGGTGTGCGTGCGTGCGTGCGTGCGTGTGTGTGTGTGTGTGTGTGGGTATTCATTTATATATAATGTATGGTGTGCATGCATATATTACAGAGTATATATATTTGGATCTATTTCACTTACAATGTATTATCTGCAAATGATTTTTTTTTTTTTTTTTTTTTTTTTTTTTTTTTTTTTTACTTATCGTAGAATATCTATTATTGAAATATAATCCCAATTTCTCTCTCTTAATGGATCTAAGGACCTTACCCTATTCTCGGAGTAACTCAAAATAGCGATTTTTTCACACTACTTTTTTACACTTTAGATAAGTTTTTGTCTTTAGTTGACTCAGGACAAAAAACTCAATTTCTGCCCAAAATATCGATAATAACAAAGAAAATATTTTTTTTCAGATGTTATTGATTACCATAATATCTCTTTCCTTTTCTTAGCTGGATGTTTCTGGTCCAACTTTCGATATACCCATCACATCTTTCTTCTTTCTATATGACTCAAGATAGTTGAAAAATAATAAGTAAAATAAAAGAATAAAGAGAGAGAGAAGAAGAGGAAGAAAGAAAGAATGAATAAAACAGAAAATAAACATTCGACTACTTATTAAATCCAACACCATAACTCCTCTCCTACCCCCCCCAGGTGATCCAGGACAAAGTGCACCACATCGAGGACTGGCCGCTCTATCCCGAAGCCTTTTACGAAGCTTCGGGCACCGAGCTTCGACCCCAGCCGGTGGGGGACGAGCTGGGGCGCGTGGTCTATCAGTATTACCCCACGAGTTCAGTTAATTATGTAAGTTGGTCTGGGAAGATATTTTTTTAATTGGTCTTGAGTGTGTGTGTTAGGATAGGATTGGTTATTTATTTATTTATTTATTTAATCCGGTTTTCATTTTGTGGTTTTGGAGTGTTTCGTGTAGAGATAAGTGGATATAGATGTATTTATTTTTTCAACCTCCCCTTCGAAAAAAAAAGATACTGTTATATCCCTTGTTAGTTTGATCTTACTTTTTTCAAATAGTTTTTTTTTTCTTAATTATGAATTCCCCAAGATAGTTCCGTAGCGACCGTCTTTTTCTCTTTTTTTATCATTTTTTTTTGGCACCGATGACCCGAGCTTACCACATTTTTCCAGTTTTCACGTTCATGTGTAGGAGGCAACAAATTTCTGAATGAGGATGTCCGACCACCTTTAGAGGATGAGAATGACACCACACTGCAGTTTGAGTCCCGCTTTGAATGTGCAAATTTGGCGAAGGTAGGAAAAAAAACTTTTTTGGATTTTTTTTTTTTTATGTATCAAATGTGTCGTCTATGTGGTTGTTGTTGTTTTGATACGTTTCACCGCCCCCTCCCCCCTAATAAAAGAGGTTATTACATCAATGTCTTTTCTATAGAGTGCGCACTGCATATGTAGTACAATGTGCTTATTTTGTAATAAATATCCCCCCCTCCCACCCACACTTTCTCCCACGTTATTTTGTGGATAAAACTCCATCTAGAACAGCCTATATTTCAGTTCATAATCCACGCATTGCACTTTCAGGTAGTACAGGTATCAGAGTGTTATTATGAACTCCATTTAAGAGCTGACATGTACACTTCAAGACACACCCAGTGGTTTTACTTTGCTGTTTCAAATACACGGAAGGATATCACATATAGGTACGATCTGATGTATTTTTCTTTATCGTTTGAGAAATAATTTGAAGGGATGTAAAAAAAAATCTGTTTTATAATGTGAAATCTGTTTTGAGATAGAAATAAAAAAGACAATGAATATACGAACAAAATTCAGCTGATTATAGAGTCATTTCCAGAATATCAAGAATACAAATGAGACCAAAAATATATATATATATATAATATATATATAATAATATATTAGAAAACAAAATGAAACGAAAAACAAGGTCATCTTCCTAACGCGATCTCGTCTCTTTGC